CAGGTTTTGCTTCAGAAAGTTCTTCAAGGCCAGTGAAACGGCTCAGTGAATAAGGTGTTTGCTGCCCAGCCTACAGACATGTGTTTGATCCCAAGAACTCACTTGGTGGAAGGAGAGGATTACCAAAGGTTATGTCTGACCTCCACACATGTGTCATGTTGCCTGCACATACACACACACATACTAGAAAACTGAGAACAAAGTTAAGTGCTACTAAATCTTCATTTGTCAAGAAGCTAATCTTTTCTACCCTATCTGTGGCTTTTCCTTCCCAGAAACAGCCTGATTGACAGTCTTTGAAAGTTGTAGATGTGCTTGAATATGTATATAAATAAGACCATCTTTTACAATAACCACAAAAATATTTTTTAAAGATTTTATTCTTAGTTTAATTATGTGTACATATGTGTGTAAGTATGAGTTTGTACAATACCCTCAGAGGCCAGAAGACGCCTGATCCTTTAGAGCCAAAATTTGAAGTAATATGAACCCCTCAATGCAATTCTGGGAATCAAACTCTGCTCTTCTGAAAGAGCAGCATTCACTCTTAACCAGAGCCATCTCTCCAGCCCTGAGGAATAATGCTTTGAAGATAATGCACTGGAAGGCGGCTGTGAGAATTGCTTCTTAAATTAGTCTTGTAAGCATGGCCTCTTCTGTTGTGAGACTAATTAACTGTGATTGCCAGCATCTGCCATATTAGTAACCATCCCAACAGCCCTGCCTTGGGGCTGTGACTTCCCTGGATCATGTCACACAGTCTACAAGGTGATAGAATTGAGAACCAGTTAGAGGAGGTAAGTGCAAACAGACATGCTCTTAGCAATACCCAACATCTTGGCTTCTACATTCACTAAGAGACCAAAACAGTTTAGAAGGTCTCTAAAATTCCTCTATCTTCAAAATTCTGAGATGTAAATGTTTTATATGAATGAAATTTTTTAAATGTATACTTTCTTGGGGTTTCTATTGCTGCAATGAAATATCATGATCAAGACAAGTTGGGAAGGAGTGAGTATGTTTGACTTACACATCCAGAGCACTGTTCATCACTGAAAGAAGTCAGAACAGGAATTCACACAGGGCAGGAGCCTAGAAGCAACAGATGATGAAGAGATGGTGGGGAGCGGTGCTACATACTGGCTTTTTCCTCATGACTTGTTCAGCTTGCTTTTTTATAAAACCCAGGAACACCAGCCCAGGGATGGCACCACCGAGTTCGCCCACATGAATCACTAGTTTTACAGCTGGATCTCCTGGAAGCATTTTCTTAATTGTGGTTCCCTCCTCTCAGATAACTTTAGCTTGTGTCAAGTTGACCTAAAACCACACAGCACAGATGTCAGTAATTAATTTTTAGTGCTGAAAGTTTTGAAAGGCCATGTTGATATTTGTCGAATAAATGAATGTAATCTTAGTGTCTAGGATGGTGCAAACTGCAAATAGAACCTAAGCTTGGTGACTTAGAGTCTCTTTCTTTCTCTGTTGACTGGTACTGGATAAACAACATGAGAATACCCACTAATTTATAAAGTGGTTTCACTCATCCCTCACATCTGATTCAGGACCCCTCCCCTCAATTTGTCTAAAGTCATTGCCCCAAATGCTGCCAAACTTTAATAATGTGTAAGCTATACCTAGCAAGGCAAAAGGAAATTATTGTAAAAATAGAAACACTTATTTTACAGACATAATCTTCAATTATTTTATTTTAAATATACTTTTCATTTTATTATTGTATTACTTACTTTTAATAATACAAAATATGAGTATTTGGTATATTATTATTTTAAATATAGTTTGGCTATTGGTCTCAGAGGGGAAGAATTTTGTTTGTTTGGGTCAGTTTTCTAAGTTAAATATCTATGGCTGAGAAGGAAGTGGAGCCTGCAATAACACACACACACACACACACACACACACACACATCTCACTTCTGTTTTCAAGCACACACTATGGATGGAAAGTTGCGGACAATTGTGATTTACTAAAGTGGATCCTGGATGTAAAATCATCTGGGTTGTTGGTGGGAATTTGAGTTATTGCCTCAACAGTGACGCAGTTCCTTAACATGCTAACCCCGAGAATATGAAATGGGAAAGCTACAAGAAATTCAACCTCGCACAAAGACTTTAGCACCCTTGCTGGGACACCCAAAACATCTTTTTAAGGATATTGAAAAAAAAAACAAAACAGGTTGGTCACATTCATCTCCCTGGCTTGGAGCCTCCCACCATAAGAGGGAGCCCGACAGGAAAGAGAAGAATAAATGGTACCCATTTCCTGCCCATCTACACAGCTTCCTAGCTCTTCTGGCTGGTCAGAGGAGCCAGCTACAGTAGACACATCCTAGTATTGAGCCCATGAGATTTAGAAGTAAAAATAGAAAGAGGTGATACTACAGGATAAAAGAGAGCAGAGAAAGAAAATAGAGAACCTATTATATTTATTTTGTAGGATGTATGTTTTCTAACTTCTGCTTTATTACCTTTTGATTTTTAAGATAGGGGTCTCACTGCATTGCCCAAGCTCGTCTCCAAAGCCATAGTTTGAGCAGACCTCACAAGGGGCTAGAAGTACAAACACGTGCCACTATCTCCCTGTTTTATTTCTGGTTGGCATACAATAATTGTACATATTTATTAAATACAATGTTCAGCATATGTATACATTTTGTTCTCAGGACAACTCATATGTCCATAATTATTTATGGATAATAATTTAATATATCTTAAACATTTATTGTTTATTTATGATGAGAATATTCCAAATATTCTCTTCTAGCTGCTTTGAAAGACCAAATGCATTATTATTAATCATGGTTACAGGACTGTGTATTAGGACACTTAGAATTTTCTACTCTCATTTGACCATAGCTTAGCACCTGTGAACCAATCTTCAACTCAGTATTCCCAGAATCTGGGAATCATTGTTCTGCTCTCAAAAGCAATGTTTTTAAATGTGTAACTGGGATCATGCAATGTTTGTCCTTCTGTGCCTCCATGATGTCCTCCAAGTTAAGTCATGTGTTACAAATGAAATGATTTCTGTGTGTTTTTTAGATTTTTTCCTTTTATCTTAAAGAAAGAGAGATTTGCCTCTCTGTCTCTCTCTCTCTCTCTCTCTCTCTCTCTCTCTCTCTCTCTCTCTCT